ACAGGGTTTCTGACAGACAGAAGGGGCTGCAGGTTTTGTTGTGCAGTCTGTATTAGGGGAATGACGGCTCCAGCCGCACCCAGCCCGACACTCCCAAAAGAGTGAGCGGGGTCTAGAAAGCAAGGTGGGGGTGACTCGAATTTCCCACAAACTGCACACACTGAGGTTAAAAGCACCCCACACTCACTTGAGGGCTCTCTCTGCAGAATTTCACAGAACATCTCTTAGTGCAAAAAGCGGGGGGACTGTTGTATTTTATTGTTGTGTGTTTGATTTTTGACTGCTTGGTGTAGCGAAGAGACAACCAGAATTGGAAACTGAAGGAGTGCCTCCCAAGCAGATTTGGTCTTTTCAGCCATACAGGGAAGCAAAAAGCTGTGTGTGTGTGTGTGTGTGTGTATCATTTAAGTTTATACCTCCCTGTAGTGATTTTCCCTTTGTAAAAATGACTGAAAAATAGCAATGCAGAACTTCTTGCTGCATTTATGCTCTGTTAGCAAAACATAATGCCAGACCTTCTCTGGGAGGGGAAGAATGGGCACTTAATAATTGGTTTAATTTGGAAAATGTGATTGATAGAGTATGTTCATTACAACATGAAACAAAATTAAAGAGGGCAAAAATAAAACTATACTCTGCTCAGTTTTGGGAGCTTGTTTTACAGCAGCTATAGAAACTTGCTGTGATAGATTAGCATTTAAGAAAACAAAGAGAAACACCTAAAGAAGTTAAAACTGCTGGAGGCTGGTGGGAGTTTTTGTCCCGGCCAACAACTGGCCATTTCTAAGAACTGACAGCAGTTTTGACCACTGAAAAGTGAGATCAACCTGTGAACACCACCTTGAGACCTAAGCCTGAGAATTTCTTTGTCTCTTTGTTTCCTGGCTGTGAAAGGTAACAGAGCTCCAGCTGGCTTCCCGTCCCCCACCCAGGCCATGCTGCCTGGGTAGGGGCTGGGCTGGGCCTGCCGCGGCTCCTGGCCGGGAGATGGGGCCTGCGGGGCTTGCCCCGGGCTCTGGCCGGGCCAGGCCGGTCCCTGGTTCGGCTGCAGTTTTGTTTTTGCTGTGACTGAATTCATCAGAGACTGCCGAGTAAGGAAAGCAAAAAGCTCTTGACCTGTGGTGGGCTGAGACAGTGACCACACTCTCCAGAGCAGCCATGAAGAATCTTCCATTGCAGACAGCTCCGGCTGCTGCTCCAGCAGAGATCACAGAACCATCTACAAAGCCTGGGCAAGATTTTAAGCCTTTCATTACCCAGATGAGACTTGCAGATTAATCCTTTTGTTCCAGAGAGAGAAAGAGAGAGTAATCAGCATGTAAAGAGACTTTATAAGCTATCAGAGACAGTGAAGAAAAGAATTAAGCTTTAGAAGAGGTAGAGAATAAGGAGATGCTTTATTAAGCTGAAATATTTTTCTGTTAAAGCTATGGAGATGGACAAGAATGTTCTGAAAAAACTCCTTTAATTCATGACAGAGTATATTAGGAGGAATAGAGTAGTTCGAAGTGTGAATTTTGAGCAAAAAGTAAAGTGATTGTGATACAGTGAGGTGCTGGAACAGAGGGAGAGAAGCAATAGTTCAAGATTGGTAGCTTTGTAGGGGCAAAGAGAAAACTTTTGTTTCCAGAGAAGCTCACAGAGACAAATGAAGAGAACTTTTACTTTTGAATAACTCATCCTTCAAAATGATATCCCTAGACTCATTCGACCCATAACACACCTCAGAGTGATGGGAAATGGGAGGAGACAATTGATGGCAGATTTTTCCAGGCATCTGGCATCAGAGAAATTGAAAGCCATAACAGAAATAGTTTTCTTGTGAAAAACTTCATAGATTAGCAGAAGAAACTTCTTTTTTCTCTATGAAGACTGATGGGAAGACTATAGCAAGAAATGGGACTGTTGTAAACACCAAAACTCTTTTTGTCTTTATGCTGTCATGTGAACAAGAGAAGAGTTGGGTAGTGGGGGGAAAAACGGGTTTCCTGGAAGATTTATCCTGGTTTTGTTATTCTTGTAGTTTTGTTAATAAAGTTTCTTTATTCCTTTTAAGTTTTAAGCCTGTTTTGCTCTTGTTCTAATCCATATCTCACAGCAAGACATAAGTAAGTTTTCTAGTGATTTTTTAGTTGCTGCTTTAAAACCAAAACATTTATTCGGTGTGTTGGGCGGGAAAAGAAATTAACAAAACTAAACCACTACACTGCAGATGGAGAATATGAAATCTATCGGTTGCAACAAATAGAGCATGGAGCACAGGAAGAGCAAAAGGATTTGACTACAAGTTGGTTGGGCAAAATCTTCAAAGGGTTAGGCTGGAATGTGAGTTCATGGATTAAATCTATCATTGAGAGTGTGATAATCTTACTAATTGTATTCTTAGCAATTTGGTTGGTTTACAGCATCTTAAAAGCAGAAAGGAAGAAGAAAACGCCCTGGAACCAGAAAATAATAAAGGCACTGACACGAGATCCAGAGCCACCATCTTCTGGTTCTCCAGTTTGTGACAACGTTTCCAGGACAATGTTTACATCCATCAAGGATTTGAAGAACATCAAGTATAAACTCATAAAAAAAAGGACTGTGTCAAGTGAAAACATTTCCACTTATAGTGAAGTGAAAATGATTTCAAAGGGGGGAATGATAGTAAAAGGTTTGAAAATCATAGAAACTTTGGGGACTTAGAAAGAAAGTTAAGCTTGGCAAACCCTGGGAAAAGTAGGCCCTGAGACATGTTAGGCCTTGTGCTTGCTAAAGGTCATGGGAAACTGCACTTGTGCAATCAATAGATGATAAATGATACAATTGTTGATGTGATTATTGTTTAAAGAAGATGAGAAACAATGTTAGGGGCTTGAGAGGGGATCACAAGAAATCCATGCTTGGGTAAAAACAATGCATACAATAGAACAATGGAAGTTGAATAATTAATATGTAAGATATAGAACGATAGAGTATAAAACCATGTTCAACTCCAAACCAAGTCAGGTCAAATTTGGGTATGTGTACCACTGACAGCCAGAGCTCTTCAATAAAACACCTTCATAGAATCATTCTGTGATTGTGTGTGTTCCTGAACACCAACATCATGATTTCAGTGCTCAGAAGATGGAGAGAGGAGCAGGTTGTGCACACACCCAAAGAAAGCAAGTTTCTTGGAGAATAAGTGGGATGTTAACAAACTGCTGCATTTAGATGCTGCATTTAGAGTTGCAAGGTTTCATTCGAGTTCAAATCTGGAGGCTTTTGAAGGAATGTGTGTTTGAATGGATGAAGTTGGTTCCTGACTTGGAGCTGTTAGCAGCATAATGTGTTGTACCAACATTTCCTTCAATTACAGCAGTTTAATCCAAAGTTATATTGAAGAGAAATGCAATTGTCCAGAGATCTAATAATTGGACATAAGAGAGGAGAGAAAATGACTTCTGTTATATAAAAGTAAAAAAGAGGCAAAGGCAGATCTCAGGTCAACAATGCAACAGGAAATTCGTTGTGCCATGAAACAGAAAACTCAGATGACCAAACTGAGCTAAGTCCTCTAGGTGTTAAAATTTGGTTATCTGTGTGGACATGCATCCTTAATTTGGGTTTTTCATTTTTGTCTTGATTGTGTGATTTACCTGCATCCTCCGTCATACTTCAAGATGTCTTAGTATTGCCATATTTAGGCAGAGGTAGTAATAAACAAGGTTCATTGTAGCCGCTAATTATGATTTGGTTTGATCTTCATAAAAAAACCTAAAACATTAGTATTAGCCTGATAAAGTGATCTTTTGATTTTTCCTATTCATGAAAACTACTTGAGTTGTCAAAAGTACTCCAAGATAACACTTCCACAGACACACATCAAATGATGTACTTATAGGGTGGCCATGAAGTTTAGACCAATGTTTTCTGTTTCTCATTATTGCCAGACTTTGAACTTCCTGGTGGATGCAATGACAGTAAGCAGAAATGTCTTTTTAAATAGCTATATTCGTAGGTGACATGCTATGCTAGGAATTTACACTGAAAAGAGCATTTAAAGAAAGCATTTATGGTCAAGTAAATTTGATCTTAATTAACCTGCAATGAAATGGCACTCAGTTGATTTTATAAGAAATTGAAACCAATGTTGGTTTGGCTCAACAGCATCAGCTGAGGCAATTTTCTTTTAAAATTTTGTTGTTTTCAAATTTGTTTTTGATCTTGGTGCATAGTTGTCAGCAGAAGGAAAAGCACATTTTCAGCTCATTCCATCATTGATCTGGAGGCATAGAAAAATTGAGGTTTTTTGAGCTTCAGAAGCCCAGAACAGAGAGACAGCATATTTGCACTGTCCATTTCTCATATTCAGTGCTTTGGCACCCATCCAAGGAGCTTAATTATTCATATATTAAATGTATAGTTGGAATTGCTTTAGCATCTTAGTATTTTTATCTAAAGCATTGAATCTCCTTTAGGGTTTTTTCAAACAATGGAAGAGTCATCCCCACCCATTCTCCAACACTTGATACCTAATTACCCAAAAAGGATGAATTGTAGTAAGTGAGAAAGTTTTGTAAGAAATGAGGCTCCTCGTGTAGAGCACGAGCTGAACATATCCTTGTGCTCATCTCCACAGCACTGGATCAATTTCCACCGTTCTCCCCACACCAGAGGGCACCCAACCAAAGGGACCAGGGGCTGAGGAGCATTCCTGCATCTGGCAGGGCTCAGATGGCTTCCCTGGTGCTCTCAGGAGCCCCAGCCCATCCCTCTGAACACAGGTCCCATGGCAGAGTGGCTAGAAGGAAAACTGATTATTAATTCTGCTTTTTTTGCTGTGGCACCTTAGAGAGCAGAGCAGGGCCTCAGGAGGGAAGGTGCTGACCCCAGGAGCAGAGCAAAGCTCCTCAGCCCTGTTGGGAAGTTCTAGTAGAGGAGTAGTTCAACACCTGACAAAGTCAAGATTTCAGAGACTTGAATTCAGGATCTGAATGGTTAGATAGTTGGAACAGTTTGAAAACCAAAAACTCCAGCAAATTTTGATTCTGTGTTAATTGCTATTTACTCGGGTTCAAGTTAAAGCAGTCCCATTAGATATAAAACAGCCAGAGACCAATAAAGCTGGAGGAGGAAGGTTAAGGAAGGGTTTAAATTTGCTTTAGCTTTGGGGAGGTGTGGTTTGTTGTGGGTTCTTTGGGCACAGGAAGGCTCCAGTGATGCTCAGGTGCCTGAGGGTGAAGGCGGCGGGAGGCGCAGCTGTGCCCGTGAGGCCGCGTGTGCGGAGCTGTGTCCAGCTGGGCCCAGCAGGAGCGGGATGTGCCTGTGGAGCAGGGCTGGAGGCGGCCCTGGGGATGTGTGGAGGCCTGGGGCAGCTGTCCCGTGCAGCCAGGCTGGGAGAGCCGGGGCTGTGCAGCCGGGAGAGGAGCAGGGGCTGGGGAGGCCTGACTGTGGCCTTCCAGTGGCCAGAGGGGGCAGAGAGCCATGGGGGAAAGGGAAGGTTGGGATCAGATGTTTGCAAGAGCTAGGAGGGTGCTGAGCCAGTGCAACAGGCTGCCCAGAGAAGCTGTGGATGCCCTGTCCCTGCAAGGTTCCAGGCCAGGCAGGACAGGGCCCTGAGCACCGCGATGGAGCCAGCGGCAGCAGAACCAGGCCATGGCTGCGGTGCCTCCATGGCCTTCTGCAACTCCATGGGTGAGCAAAGCGCAGCCCCGTTACCTGGGCATGGAATGTTGGCACCGGTTGCCAGGGGCACTCCTGCTCCCAAGGTTCTGTTGACACGGAGTCTCTTGAGCCAGTTGACGGATTCTCTGCTGCGCAGCAGACGTGGAGAGTCCGTCTTCTGCATCTCAGCTGCGTACAGAGAGCCGTGTGCTGAATTTGCCAGCCAAACTCTGCAGTGACTGAACAGGTGAGTGCAGACAACTCCTGAAAAGCTGAGTGTCATGCTGAGGGGCTGTTCTGGGCTGCAGCATGGGCTGCAGGTGGGCTCCAGTGCCAGAGTCATGGACTTCCCACCTAGCTTTGAACAGGAACAAAAGACTTGGCAATGGGAGTCTTGGGGCATGCGGGTATTCAAGAAAATTGGCATTCCAAATAGATAATCTCTCCTGTACTTTTCTGACAGGTTTGGAACAGCAGTTTTCAGTCACGCCAAATAATCGGCAGTGGGCTACCCAAAGGAACCAAAGGGATTGATCCCATCCCTGAGGTTCCTTTTTTGGTGTTGGTCCCACTTCCTTTGCCGGTACCTTTAGATCCAAAAACACCATGAGCTCCGTAAGTACATTGCTACTCAGTGCTGATCTGAATCTTGAAACATTTTACAGGGCACTTCTAGGAAGTATTTCAAGAGTTTGTAGCAAAAGGACAAGAATGGAAACCTTTGAAAACTTTACATAACATGGTGTTCTGGAATACTGAAAGTTTTGGATGTCTGTGGGTGTTAGCAGCAATAGTTCACAACTGCTTACAGTGTGAGCAGCAGCCTGCTAGAATTGGGAACTGCTCTCCTCATTTACAAGGGATTGGGACAGGCTCTTTCTTGGTGAGGCACCCTGTCGGAGTTCAGGGCTGATGTCTTTGCTCTGAGGAGATGCACTTAGGTGGGAATGGCCCATAGCACCATTGGATGCATATTGCAGCCTTTGCAGGAGTGTTTTGTGTATCCTTGTGTGCTGTCATTGGGGTGGCAAAAACCAAGTGCCATGTTCATATTAGTGCCACAGAAAATGCTAAGGCTTTGTTCTCTCTCAGGGTCAGCGAAAGCGCCCTGGAGAGGCGCTGGATTCTACCCCAGCTCAGAAACGGAGCAGGCTGCTGCCCTCCAGAGCTGGTGGAACCTTGGAGACAGAGCCAAGAGAGGCTGGTAAGAACAGAAACTGCTTCTGGAGGCTTGGAGTTCATTTGAATGGGTGCTTTTGCCAGTTCCTAGGCCCTTTCCTGGGGAGGAAGGGAACCTTGGGCTTGAGGAACCACCTGGTATGGCATCCCTAAACAACCAGCCCACTGACAGCTGTTTTGGTTTGTTACTGAACTCTGTCCATTGGCCTCTAGTGGGAGAGGAGCTGTTTAGCAAAGGCCCCAAGTGCTGCTCAAACACCTGAATGGGTGCCCTGATGAGCTGGCAGTGACTTCAGCTGCCACAGTGGAGGTGGCAGGCTGAGTTTGGCATCTCCCAAGCTGCACAAAGATGAAGAAAAGTTAGTCATTAGCTGGGGCCCATTCTTCAGGGGAGCACGGACAGCATGGTACTGTAAAATTAGCATCCCCCATAGATTTGGTGGTTTTTTTCTCCTGTGTGCTAAACATTCCCCTATGCGAGAGGAATGATCTGTTGGTGTGCACCTCCCGTAAGCTGTTGTCATCCAACAGAACTTGTGAGGAGTTCAGGTGCTCTTCCTCTTGTTTTGCCCCTTCAGGGCACAGGGCAATGCTCAGCAGGACACATGAGGCAATGCACAGAGGACCATGCTCCCTCTGGACTGCTGAGGGCAAAGCTTGAGTGAAATGTTGGACCCATTCCTGAACAAAAGACACCTTGGGCACAGGGAATCCTAGCACAGTCTGTTCCACAGTGGCAGCCCATTGCATTCCTCTGCAATCTCTGACCTCACTTCTAACCTTCTCTTTTTCAACTGCTGAAGAAGTCATAGATCTCACAGGAGATTCTCCAGAGCCTGAAGTCATCACCATCAGCGATGATGAATCTCCTGTGGTAAGTAGTGACTGGCACACTCCTCTCCATGTTGCATCCATAGGAATTTTCTTGCCCTCTGCAATCTTACTAAGTCCCCTGGCCTCAAAGGTTGAAAGATGGCTCTGATTTAGCACTTTAGACACAGTTCCCAGTCAACCCCAAACACACTCCCAAACACATCAGCATGCCTGAGAATCAGTTGCAGAGAGTGGATGAACAACCTAAAAGAGGTTGTTGCTTCAGTGATTCAAAAGAGAGCAGAGGAAGTCTTTGATTTGAAGAAGTGTTTTAGCTGCAGCATCAGTTTAAGGTCCCCCTGTCACTGAGGTGTCAAAAGCAACTGCAGCTGACTGGGGTACACACTAATTCTCTTTCTTATTCCTCTAAGTCTTTAAAAGGGGCACATTTGGGATTTTTTCTTTTTACCCTACTATTTTGAAAGACTATGCTTTGATGCAGCCCTCAGAGCAGTGTGTCTGCTCAAATCTGGGATGCCTCTACTGTTGTGCAAAGCAGACACATGCAGCAAACATTGCATGGCAGTTATATCCTGACAGGGTTGTTCCTGAACCTGTGCAAAGAAAAGGCCTCAAGTTTCACAACACACTTTGCATGACCCAGCTCCTCTTACACCGAACACCAGAGCAGGTTTGGGTCTAGGGGTTTGTTTCTCTTCAGTAGCTGTTCCTATAAAAAGTAGTGCTCAGGCTATCACAGGTGAACTTGCCACAAAGAAACAGCTCTGGCCCAAATCCAATTAGGGAACTGAAACGGGGGAGCAGGAAGGGTCAAGTTCCACTGCTTCCTAAGTGTGTCCATTTCTACCCCGTTCTACCCCTGCAGCAGAGCCCACAGCAGCCACATCTTTCCAGGGCCTCGGAGAATTCACCTGAGCCACTGGAAAGGAACGATGGAGAGGAACCAAGAGAAGATGATGGGTATGTGAGAGAGAAAGTGTCTATTAAAACTCTGATTTCATATATGTGGTAGAAAGAGGTTTTTGCCAAGCCGTAGGGTTCTGCAAAACTCTGTGCAAATACTTCAGACCTGGAATATAGTGGTCTGCCTGGAGGAGAATTAAAAGAAACCCAGCAAAATCCAGCAGAAACCTTCCTTCCCTGTTTGTGAAGCCACAATTGAATTTAAGAGAACTGCTTGACATGCTGAAATGCTTGCAGTACATAAAAATTCTTGCAATGATGGTGTTTCTGGGTGAGAATGCATCTTATTCAGAACAGGGGATGTTTTGAGTACCAACATTTTCTTTGTTGGTAACCCTTGGTGGCCAGTGAAAGAAATGGCTGTGCATTTAAATGACTGTATGTTCTTTTGGTTCTCCTCTCTCTAGTGATTGGCTGCTGTTTGAATTTGATCCTCCCTATTGGTCAGATGAGGACTCCCAGGTGAGGATGCACATGTTCTTGTCCTGCTCTGTGGGAGGGAAAGGGGCAGAGGGGGAGCTGCACAACTCACTTGTCTTAGGTGGGTGCCACGGGCAGCGGGCTGGAAGCACAGCCCTTGCTGGGAAGCTCCAAGTTGTCCATTCCTGCAAGTCCCTCCTTGCTGGTGTCCATAGAGGGAGGAGCCCTTGCCAGGATGGCACTGGCAGAGCTGTGTGTTCCTTGTAGTTCTTACATTGACTGACTGACTGCACATACTCCAAGTCCTGTTTGCCTGGGGCCAATAGAGCAGCAAACTGGAATTCCTTCCTCCCAATGCCGGGTATGCTTTCCATTCTTCAGCAGCTGGTCATGCAGCAGGAGTGTTTAGAGCTGTGACTGCAGAAGTTGCCCATTTTGGGGCTAGGGCAAAGAAAAGGTTCTAGCCCAAATCCAATCAGGGAACTGTAAAGGGGAAGTAGGACAGAGTTGATTTGAGTGACTTCTAATTTGACTCCATTTTTACCCCACTGCAGTACAGAGAGCAGAACCAGCAGCACTCTCAGCTTTCCAGATTAGCTGAGAATTCAGCTGGGCCCCTGACAACTCCTGATGAAGAGGAACCAAGAGTTAATGATGGGTATGTGAGAGTAAAATGTCTCTCTAGATTCTAATTTCTGGTAGATGGTAAGAACAGGTTTTGCCACACTTCCAGCTTCTACTCAAGTCTGTGCAGAAACTTCTGACTTGGAATATAGTGACCTATCTGTCAAAGAAGCAAGTAAAAGAATCAAAAAAAACCCATAGCAAAATCCAGATGAAACCTTTCTTTTCCTTTCATTAAGTCATGGTTGAATAGCTATTCCAGTATGGCTTGCTATAAGTTTCAAATGCTTACAGTACATAGCAGCTGGGGGAACAACTGTGGTGCTGGGCTGGGATGTTGCTAGAACAGAATAGGTGTTAACTGTTGGTAAGCCTTGGTGCCCAGGGAAATTCTTGGCTTTGTGTTGAAATGGCTGCATGTTCTTTCTGGTTCTGTTCCCTCTAGGGCACAGCCAGCAGATCCTGCTAGTCCTCTGACTACGGAGGATGACAACTCAGAGGAGCAGGACAGGGAGCTGAGACAGCTGCACTCACAGGATTCCAGGGAGGCAGAGAATTCAGCTGAGCTCTGGCCAAGAGATGATGAGGAGGAATCACGAGACAATGATGAGTATGTAACAGATGATGTGTCTCCCCAAAGTGTCATTGCTGACATAGGGCAGACACAGGGTTTTGCCAAACTGTTGGATTCTGCTTGATTTTGTGGGAAGGAATCTGATTTAAACCATAGTGTCCAGTCTGGAAGGCAACTCATGGGAAAAAACCCCTAAAGCCCAGCAAAATCCAGGAGAAACATTTCTTCTCCATTCAGGAAGTCATTATTGAATGTTTCTTTACATTATGTGTTGTGATACACTGATATGCTTGCAGTCCATTAAAGCTCTTGCACTGACTGTGTTTCTGGCATGGGATGTTGCTAAATCAGAATAAGGGATTGTTTCAATTTCTGCCATTTTCTATCTCTGTGCACTGTGAAATTGATGGCTGCATATTCTTCTGGTCCTTCTCCCTCTAGTGCATGGACAGCAAGTCTCATCAGTCCTCCAAGTCCTGAGGATGACAACACAGAGGTGAGGATCCACAGCCCTTGCTGGGAAGCTCCAAGTTGCCCATATCCTGCCAGTCCCTCCTTGCTGGTGTCCATAGAGGGAGGAGCCCCTGCCAGGATGGCACTGGCAGACCCATGTGTTTTTTATAGTTCTAGCACTGACTGACAGACTGCACATACTCCAAGTCCTGTTTGCCTGGGGCCAATAGAGCAGCAAACATTTTGCCCCAAATTCCTGTGCCTGTGCTTTCCGTTTCTCAGCAGCTGCTCATCCAACGCCAAGTGTTTAGGGCTAACGAGGGAAAGGAAGGTTCTAGCCCAAATCCAGTTAGGGAACTGAAATGGGGAAGCAGGATGGGGAGCTTCATAATCTCTCTCCTTTTTTACCCCATTGCAGGACTGGGAGGAGAGCCAGCAGTATCCATCTGATTCCAGATCAGATGAGAATTCAAACCAAGGACTGGCGAGCAGACTTCAACAGGAGCCAAGAGATCTAGAATTGTATGTGACAGATAAAGGGTCTCTCCAAAGTGTAATTTCTGCTGCCATTTCCGTGTAGACACAGGTTTTTGCCAATCTTTTGGCTTCTACTTGATTCTGTTTGGAGAATTCTGACTTGGATCATAGTGGCCTATCTGGAAGAGAAGGAATGGAAAAAACCCCTAAAACCGGCAAAATGCAGGAGAAATATTTCCTCTCTGTCAGGAAGTCATTATTGTAATGTTTCTTACCTTATGGACTGTGATACACTGAAATGCTTGCAGAACATAAAAACTCTTGCACTTGATTGTGTTTCTCAGCTGGGATGTTGCTAAATTAGAATAAGGGGTTACTTCAAGTTCTGCAATTCTATGTCTTGGTAACCCTCTGTGCTGAGTGAAATTGATGGCTGCATGTTCTTCTGATTCTGCTCCCTCTAGTGCACCGCCAGGAGGTCCCATTAGTCCCCCGAATTGGGAGGATGACAACGCAGAGGTGAGGACCCACATGTTGTTGTCATTTCTGATTTGTGGGAGGGGAAGGGATAAAGAAGTGCTGCACAACTCACTTGTCTTAGGTGGGTGCCACGGGCAGCTGGCTGGAAGCACAGCCCTTGCTGGGAAGCTCCAAGTTGCCCATTCCTGGAAGTCCCTCCTTGCTGGTGTCCATAGAGGGAGGAGCCCTTGCCAGGTTGGACCTGGCAGACCCATGTGTTTTTTACAGTTCTAGCATTGACTGATAGAGTTCTTTATTCACAATGCCTGTTGTGGTTTCCTTTCTTCAGCAGCTCTTTCATCTAACATGAAGTGCTTAGAGTTAAAATAGCAGAATTTGCCAGTTTAAAAGAGAACAAGGGAAAAAAACAGCTCCAGCCCAAATTGCATTAGGGCACAGGAAGAGGGGAGGAGGGAGGAGGGTTTTCAGATGGTTCCTAAGCTGCCTCTGTTTGTATCCAGTTGCATCAATGAGAGCAGAATCAGCAGCAGCCACTTGGTTGTTTTCAGGGCAGCAGCTGTTTGTGCTCCTGCTTTGAATGCCCTTAAGCCAACTTGGAGGGTGATAGCCTAGCCTTGCTCACTCCTCTGCTAGAACTGCTTTCTGAGCTGAGGTTTGCATGCAGCACAGGGGGCTCACCCAATCTAATTGTATTTTCTTTTCTTTCCCTTCTCATGTGCATCAATGGAAGTTTCCTGAAGGTGAGTTGATGTTTGACACTTGGTAATGGACTTTGATCTAGAATGTAATCATGACTTTTATTCTTTTCCAAGAACCTGGAGCAACAGGGCTTGAAAGTGCTTTTAGGAAAAGGCAGAGGACAGGCTCAAGCTGCTAGCCAGTGTCTTAGAGAATGGATGCAATGTGTGTGTGGTGGCCCCTATCAGTCACAGTGGAAAATCCCTGCCATAAGAGTTGAGGCTGAATTGCAGAAGGAACTGGAATTTGGTGACACTTCCTACACTTTGAGTTAATTAGTGATTGATTAGTATCACATGGAGAATGGAATTGCAGAAGTCATGGGTGCCTGCATTTTCTGAGAGTTAAAAAGCAAGCAGCATTTCTTGACCCTCTGGCTGTTATAGACCAGGCCATTTAAAATTGATCTCTCTTGAACTTGGTCAAGATGTTGCCCACAAAAACTGGATTGGTTACTGGGTTTGGTGCAACAGGTCAATAGTTCTACACTTGGGAGAGACATTGATTGTTTCTTTCAGTGCTGCACTTCAGTCTGGCTGTTCAGTGCTATTTCACCTATCAGACACGCTCACTAGCAAAACTTCTATCATTTACAAATTTGAACAAACCAAGAAATTAGTATTGATTGGTTACAAGTGACACGGCCATTTTCCTAATTAGTCTTCTGTCTTCTTTTGGTTCCCAATTGTCTCACTTCTCCCTAGAATTAGTCCAGTCAGTCCATTGCTCAGTCTCTTCTTCTTTTGGGCTGGGCAGTTTCTTGAGCTGCTGCTCCTTGAGTCAGTGGTCGCAATCTCCCCCTGCAGGAATTACTTTTTACCAGTCAAAGCTGATTTCAGGAGAGTTGGGTTTCTTAGTTGTTTCCTTATCTTGGGACTTGGGTTGGATATCCTTTTGGCCCCTCAGTTCTGCATTCTTTGTGTCCACTCTCAGTGGGCATCCTTCTCCTGAAGCTTTCTTAACCTTCCCCTGGCTCTGAGCTCCTTGAAGCATGGCAAGGTCTGAAGCTTAACAAGGCAATTCTACCAACAAGGAATTTGTTTTTCTAACCCATGGGCATCACTGAGAGCTTGTTTGTTAGTTGCTGTCTATTTAATGGATTAAATCTCCCTTCTGGTTGCTTTGGCTTGGGAATATACAAGGATGAAATATATCAATACAAAGAACATCCTTCCTTAAGAAATCTTTTACATGCTCTACATTTTGCATCCCAGAGAACTCCATTTTCAAATTACCTTAACCCAGGAGGGACATGATGACAATGTTTAAGGGGACACTGCTCCAAGTAATTGTGTAGTTTCCAGGGACTGTCCTTGAGAATCACCTTTTTAGCTGGGTGTAGAGTGAACAAAGCAAAGGTTTTGTGTTGCTCCGTAGCAGAGCAGTTGTCGTACTGTATTAGGAACAACCAGAAGTGCAATATGACTCTCTTAGTTGCTTTGTCCAAGAGAGCAAAGTTTATTATTCCACATCTTCTTTTACGAACGTTTTCCAGAAGGTCTGAGAGGTAAAACTCTCATTGGTCCTTAAACTTGCACATCACTATCATTGCTTAATTGGAACAGCACCCCTTGACTGTTTCTTGCAAGGAAACAACAAGGATTCTAAACAGCACCTGCAAAGATTCCTGTCCTTTACCAAGGACTGCTTGGATTTTTCATTATGCTTTCTCAGGCCAGAGTGAGAAGCTTGTGTCACTTAGTTTCACACAGACTGTGTGTTCCTGCTTGCTTTTTGCATTTAGCATCCACAAGTAGTCCCAATGTCTGGGAAGGTTCAGCCTTACTCTTTGGGAAAGTTGGTTATTTATGATTGTTTTTAACCCAGATGAACAGAGCCCATTTAAAATAGGAACCATTACTGACAATTTCTAGAACTCATTTGAAGGGTAGCTCCAGGGAGAGAGAGAATAATAGATGTAACTTCTGAAAATTCAATTACAGTGCATGGAGAAGAACAGAGAACTGCTGCACTGAACAGCCAGGAACAGGTGGATGGCTCTGCTGATGGCACAGGAGCTAATGATGCACCTGTGGCTGATGCAGCCCCTGCAGAACACGGAGCAGAGGAGCATGCTGGAACTTCAGCGTACGTATGGCTCATGCCCTACCAAACACGGAACTTTGTGCTTTTCTTTCTTTTCTCTGTAGGAATAAGTTCTACAGCTATGCCTGCTTTATCTCTGAAGCCTTCCCCACTCTACTCATTTCCATACTTCTCCTGTGTTGCATGATGATCAAATGATACCATCTGCATTTCGGGAGAAAAAGGCAGTCCAAGGCAGACACCACAGAACCTTAGAGATGAGAGTGGGGCTATGGCAAGGAAGGGCATTGGTCACAGCCCATAGCTCAGGATTGCATTTGCTTTTTCTGACAAGTTCTAGTAGCCAGGTTAGCTATGGAAATACTTCCATTGCTAGCAATGAGGCTTGGCATCATGGGGCCAGCAGGCAGCAGCTGGGCAACTTCCAGCAGAAATTCCCTGCTGGAATGCTGCCAGCTGGCTCCCTTTCTCCTGCAGCTGGAGCCATTCTTCCCAAGGTACACTTGCACACAGGCAGCTGTGCAGGTCCTGCTTTTATGGCCAGTGCTGGATGTCACAAGCCCTGATTTCTTTGCTTCTGGCATGGAGATCTTGCAGTTCAAGTTGGCTGCCTGCACAGTAAAATCCCCGTTCTGCAGAGCAACAGCAAAGTCCTGCTCTAGGAGCGCTCCAGCAGAATAAGAAAGAGGCAATGCATTAGGCTGATTAGATTAAACCAGGTGTCTGTGTCACTAGGGAGGACAAAGCACATGAGAATTATGATGGAAGGTTTTCTAAAGTGGCTTTTTGGGGGTGAAAGGGAAAGGCATAGGTTTAAACAAAGCTGGTGTGCTTTGAGCCTTTGGGAAAGGCAATGTAGGAGAGAAATGGAGTATGGAACTTTTAGGTGTCAGGTCTTAAACATGCCACCTCAAGGGCTTTCACTGTTCTTAAGCATAATGCCTTTTGCCAATGACTTTGGACATGTTTAAGTTTTGGTTGTTGGGTCTGCAGGTGAACAAATCCCACCACTTGGTTCATATAGAAAAAGAATACTCTGTCCCTTCAGTTCTCTGTTCCAGAATGGAACTGCTCTGAAAGAACTCAGTGCTGCAGCATTCAACACTGACCAAAGGCTCCTTCCTGGGGCTGGATCTTGCCAGAGCCATGTTACTCTATAGTGTTAGAACTGGCTCCTGCAATGAATATTCCGGGCTGAATAGTTCCCAGAGGACAGCTGGATGCTGTAGTTCCAAAGCTGTTCATGACGAGCCGCTGCAAGTCCAAGTTTCCAAACACCAAGTGGCCAGTGCTAAAGACTGCTCTTACTTCAAATCCCAGAGCAGGGTGTCTGACTGCACCTTTCTCCTAGTGAAAACCAGGATGCTCTTTCCCTCGAGGCAGGGAGTGCCCAAATCCTCATTAAATGCAGCAAAGAGAGAGTTAAAGACAGCAGGCTTCTTCAAAGGAAATGGGCCAGGGCTAGTCAGTGCACTTGCATGATGAGCTGAGATTTTAGGTATCAATAATCATTGAAGTGAGGTGATATTAACAGCTGCACGTTCTTTCTGCTTCTGTTCCCTCTAGTGCAGAGCCAGGAGTTGTCATTAGCTGTCCAATTTGCATGGACTATTACTCAGAGGTAAGGATGCACCTCTTGTCATGCTTTGTGCTTTGTGGGAGGAGGAAGAAGCCAAAAGGGGAGTTGCCCAAGTCAGCTGGCTGATGTGGGCAGCTGGCTGGAAGCACAGCCCTTGCTGGGAAGCTCCACAAGTCCCTTCTTGCTGGTGAATGGAGAGGGAGAAGCCCTTGCCAGGATGGCACTGGCAGATCTGTGGGTCCCTCCTGGCTTCTAACTGATTCCAGATGCTCTCAAGTCTCATTTGCCTGCTGCCAATAGAGCAGAAAACTCCAATTCTTTCCTCCCAATACATGTGGTTGTTGTTTCCTTTCTTCCAGATCATGCAAAATGGACGACAGCTTGTGACAACTGTGTGTGGCCACGTGTTCTGCAGCGCGTGCCTCCCTGCTGCCCTGGAGAACACCGGCATGTGCCCAATGTGCGGCGTGCAACTCGATCCAGGGTTGTACTTTCCTATTTATTTATGAGTGCTTCTGCTGCTCAGGACAGTCTCAGGTGGACCTCGAAGAACAGGCGGTGCAGAGGCTTGCTTCTTTCTGTATATAGTTTTCTCTGTACATAGTTTCATGTTTTCTGCGTTCAGTTATACATAAAGTTTTGATTGATTTAAATCTAGTCTGCCTGCTCTTCTGTGTTGGACTGTGCTGATAAACAGAGATGTTGTTTACCAGGTGGAAATCAGGCTCTTGGTTTGAGCAGTCAGAAGCTCGTTCTTTTCATCACACCGTAGTCACTGATTTGGGGGAAATGTGCTAAAGCCATGGGCTTTGTAGTTCTTGTGGCCAACAAATAATAATTGAATAGTAATTGTGGCAAATAAAGTGTGTGTTGTACAGGGAAAAGAAACAGGTGCTCCTTGGGATGCAAGGCCTTGTACTTGTCAGGCCACAATCTGGTGGATGTTTAGGTGCAAATGTCAGTGATAGTAAAAGGTTTTAAAATCATAGAAACTTTGGGGACTTAGAAAGAAAGTTAAGCTTGGCAAGCCCTGGGAAAAGTAGGCCCTGAGACATGTTAGGCCTTGTGCTTGCTAAAGATCATGGGAAACTGCACTTGTGTAATCAATAGATGATAAATGATACAATTGTTGATGTGATTATTGCTTAAAGAAGATGAGAAACAATGTTAGGGGCTTGAGAGGGCATCATGAGAAATCCGTGCTTGGGTAAAAACAATGCTTCAAATAGAACAATGTAAGTTTAATAATTAATATGTAAGATATAGAACAGAGTATAAAAACATATAGAATAGAGTATAAAAACATATAAAAACTCGAAATGAAGTCGGGTCAGATTTGGGTATGTGTACCCCTGACAGCCAGAGCTCTTCAATAAAGCACCTCCATATAATCATTCTGTGACTATGTGTGTTCCTGAACACTAACATTTTGGTGACCCCAGATGGGATCTCGTGAGTGCTGCTGAGCTCGCTCACGACCCGATCACGCTCCAGCCGGCACCGAGGGATTCTCGGCGATCCCATCGGCCGTGACCATCTCTGCTGCTCACAACGTCCCCAGGAGAGAAAGCTGAGGTGCTTTACCTGGTTTGGGTGCCTGCCAGTAAGATGCAGCGAAAGCTGTGCTTGGTTGGGCTAAAGGAATTCCTGTCGGCATTGCCCAGGCGCCGTCCGTCAGACGACTGCGAAAGCATGGCAAGTTTGGCATTTGTGGTGTATTGTAATATGGAGAAGCTTAAAGGGGTTTTGGGCAGCAATGCTCCCATTCTGGGTACTTCTCCTTTGGGGTGCTTAATAGCACATTGGAAACAAGGTAACTTTGGGGAAGAATTACATAAGACTAAGTTAATTTTGGTGAGATCTCCCCACAGAAAAAGACCCCAGCGAACCCGTCTCGTCTGTTGGTAGCTATAACCCCCTCTTCTCTCTTCCTTTACTTTGTTTTCTTTATCTCTCCCTCTCTCTCCCTCTCCTCTATCGCATAACCCTTGTTGTTGGCACTAAAATAAAGGTGCATTATTGTTGTTGTGATTCAAACTGAAATCCCTTTGTATCCTTTTTGCACTCTAAGATCAAACGAACCTCTCCCGACTCCCGCTTGCATTAGCCAATTGTGACATTTAAACTGGAGCCACAGACAGGATTTCTGACAGACAGAAGGGGCTGCAGGTTTTGTTGTGCAGTCTGTATTAGGGGAAGGACGGCTCCAGCCGCACCCAGCCCGACACTCCCAAAAGAGTGAGCGGGGTCTAGAAAGCAAGGTGGGGGTGACTCAAATTTCCCACAAACTGCACACACCGAGGTGAAAAGCACCCCACACTCACTTGAGGGCTCTCTCTGCAGAATTTCACAGAACATCTCTTAGTGCAAAAAGCGGGGGGACTGTTGTATTTTATTGTTGTGTGTTTGAATTTTGACTGTTTGGTGTAGCGAAGAGACAACCAGAATTGGAAACTGAAGGAGTGCCTCCCAAGCAGATTTGGTCTATTCAGCCATACAGGGAAGCAAAAAGCTGTGTGTGTGTGTGTATCATTTAAGTTTATACATCCCTGTAGTGATTTTCCCTTTGTAAAAATGACTGAAAAATAGCAATGCAGAACTTCTTGCTGCATTTATGCTCTGTTAGCAAAACATAATGCCAGACCTTCTCTGGGAGGGGAAGAATGGGCACTTAATAATTGGTTTAATTTGGAAAATGTGATTGATAGAGTATGTTCATTACAACATGAAACAAAATTAAAGAGGGCAAAAATAAAACTCTGCCCTGCTCAGTTTTGGGAGCTTGTTTTACAGCAGCTATAGAAACTTGCTGTGATAGATTAGCATTTAAGAAAACAAAGAGAAACACCTAAAGAAGTTAAAACTGCTGGAGGCTGGTGGGAGTTTTTCTCCTAGCCAACAACTGGCCATTTCTAAGAACTGACAGCAGTTTTGACCACTGAAAAGTGAGATCAACCTGTGAACACCACCTTGAGACCTAAGCCTGAGAATTTCTTTGTCTCTTTGTTTCCTGGCTGTGAAAGGTAACTGAGCTCCAGCTGGCCTCCTGTTCCCCCACCCAGGCCATGTGGCCCGGGCAGGGGCTGGGCTGGGCCTGCCGCGGCTCCTGGCCGGGAGATGGGGCCTGTGGGGCTTGCCCCGGGCTCTGGCCAGGCCAGGCCGGTCCCTGGCTCGGCTGCAGTTTTGTTTTTGCTGTGACTGAATTCATCAGAGACTGCCGAGTAAGGCAAAAAAAAAGCTCTTGACCTGCGGTGGGCTGAGACAGTGACCACACTCTCCAGAGCAGCCATGAAGAATCTTCCATTGCAGACAGCTCCAGCTGCTGCTCCAGCAGAGATCACAGAACCATCTACAAAGCCTGGGCAAGATTTTAAGCCTTTCATTACCCAGATGAGACTTGCAGATTAATCCTTTTGTTCCAGAGAGAGAAAGAGAGAGTAATCAACATGTAAAGAGACTTTATCAGCTATCAGAGACAGTAAAGAAAGGAATTAAGTGTCAGAAGAGGTAGAGAATAAGGAGATGCTTTAATAAGCTGAAATATTTTTCTGTTAAAGCTATGGAGATGGACAAGAATGTTCTGAAAAAACTCCTTTAATTCATGACAGAGTATATTAGGAGGAATAGAGTAGTTCAAAGTGTGAATATTGAGCAAAAAGTAAAGTGATTGTGATACAGTGAGGTGCTGGAACAGAGGGAGAGAAGTAATAGTTCAAGATTGGTAGCTTTGTAGGGGCAAAGAGAAAACTTCTGTTTCCAGAGAAGCTCACAGAGACAAATGAAGAGAACTTTTACTTTTGAATAACTCATCCTTCAAAATGACATCCCTAGACTCATTTGACCCATAACACACCTCAGAGTGATGGGAAATGGGAGGAGACAATTGATGGCAGATTTTCCCAGGCATCTGGCATCAGAGAAATAGAAAGCTATAACAGAAATAGTTTTCTTGTGAAAAACTTCATAGATTAGCAGAAGAAGACTCCTGTTTCTCTTCGAAGACTGATGGGAAGACTATAGCAAGAAATGGGACTGTTATAAACACCAAAACTTTTTTTGACTTTATGCTGTCATGTGAACAAGAGAAGAGTTGGGTAGTGGGGGGAAAAAGGGTTTTCTGGAAGATTTATCCTGGTTTTCTTATTCTTGTAGTTTTGTTAATAAACTTTCTTTATTCCTTTTAAGTTTTAACCCTGTTTTGCTCTTGTTCTAATCCATATCTCACAGCAAGACATAAGTACGTTTTCTAGTGATTTTTTAGTTGCTGCTTTAAAACCAAAACATTTATTCAGTGAGTTGGGCGGGAAACGAAATTAACAAAACTAAACCACTACACTGCAGATGGAGAATATGAAATCTATCGGTTGCAACAAATAGAGCATGGAGCACAGGAAGAGCAAAAGGATTTGACTACAAGTTGGTTGGGCAAAATCTTCAAAGGGTTAGGCTGGAATGTGAGTTCATGGATTAAATCTATCATTGAGAGTGTGATAATCTTACTAATTGCATTCTTAGCAACTTGGTTCATTTACAGCATCTTAAAAGGAGAAATACAGAAGAAAACGCCCTGGAACCAGAAAATAATGAAGGAACTGACACGAGATCCAGAGCCACCATCTTCTGGTTCTCCAGTTTGTGACAACGTTTCCAGGACAACGTTTACATCCATCTAGGATTTGAAGAACATCAAGTATAAACTCAGAAACAAAGGACTGTGTCAAGTGAAAACATTTCCACTTATAGTGAAGTGAAAATGCTTTCAAAGGGGGGAATGATAGTAAAAAGTTGGAAAATCATAGAAACTTTGGGGACTTAGAAAGAAAGGCAAGTTTGGCAAACCCTGGGAAAAGTAGGCCCTGAGACATGTTAGGCCTTGTGCTTGCTAAAGATCATGGGAAACTGCACTTGTGCAATCAATAGATGATAAATGATACAATTGTTGATGTGATTATTGTTTAAAGAAGATGAGAAACAATGTTAGGGGGTTGAGCTGGGATCACAAGAAATCCATGCTTGGGTAAAAACAATGCATACAATAGAACAATGGAAGTTGAATAATAAATATGTAAGTTACAGAACGATAGAGTATAAAACCATGTTCAACTCCAAATGAAGTAGGGTCAGATGGGTATATGTACCCCTGACAGCCAGAGCTCTTCAATAAAGCACCTTCATAGAATCATTCTGTGATTATGTGTGTTCCTGAACACTAACATCATGATTTCAGTGCTGAGAAGATGGAGAGAGGAGCAGGTTGTGCACACACCAAAGAAAGCAAGTTTCTTGGAGAATAAGTGGGATGTTAACAAACTGCTGCATTTAGCGTTGCAAGGTTTCATTCAGGTTAGAATCTGGAGGCTTTTGAAGGAATGTGCATTTGAATGGATGAAGTTGGTTCCTGACTTGGAGCTGTTAGCAGCACACTGTGTTGTAGCTCCATTTCCTTCAATTACAGCAGTTTAATCCAAAGTTACATTGAAGAGAAATGCAATTGTCCAGAGATCTAATAATTGGACATAAGAGAGGAGAGAAAATGACTTCTGTTATATAAAAGTAAAAAAGAGGCAAAGGCAGATCTCAGGTCAACAATGCAACAGGAAATTCGTTGTGCCATGAAACAGAAAACTCAGATGACCAAACTGAGCTAAGTCCTCTAGGTGTTAAAATTTGGTTATCTGTGTGGACATGCATCCTTAATTTGGGTTTTTCATTTTTGTCTCGATTGTGTGATTTACCTGCATCCTCAGTCATACTTCAAGATGTCTTAGTATTGCCATGTTTAGGCAGAGGTAGTAATAAACAAGGTTCATTGTAGCCGCTAATTCTGATTTGGTTTGATCTTCATAAAAGAAAACTAAAACATTAGTATTAGCCTGATAAAGTGATCTTTTGATTTTTCCTATTCATGAAAACTACTTGAGTTGTCAAAAGTACTCCAAGATAACACTTCCACAGACACACATCAAATGATGTACTTATAGGGTGGCCATGAAGTTTAGACCAATGTTTTCTGTTTCTCATTATTGCTAGACTTTGAACTTCCTGGTGGATGCAATGACAGTAAGCAGAAATGTCTTTTTAAATAGCTATATTCGTAGGTGACATGCTATGCTAGGAATTTTCATTGAAAAGAGCATTTAAAGAAAGCATTTATGGTCAAGTAAATTTGATCTTAATTAACCTGCAATGAAATGGCACTCAGTTGATTTTGTAAGAAGTTGAAACCAATGTTGGTTTGGCTCAACAGCATCAGCTGAGGCAATTTTCTTTTAAAATTTTGTTGTTTTAAAATTTGTTTTTGATCTTGGTGCATAGTTGTCAGCAGAAGGAAAAGCACATTTTCAGCTCATTCCATCATTGATCTGGAGGCATAGAAAAATTGGGGTTTTTTGAGCTTCAGAAGCCCAGAACAGAGAGACAGCATATTTGCATTGTCCATTTCTCATATTCAGTGCTTTGGCACCCATCCAAGGAGCTTAATTATTCGTATATTAAATGTATAGTTGGAATTGCTTTAGCATCTTAGTATTTTTATCTAAAGCATTGAATGTCCTTTAGGGTTTTTTCAAACAATGGAAGAGTCATCCCCACCCATTCTCCAACACTTGATACCTAATTACCCAAAAGGATGAATTGTAGTAAGTGGGAATGTTTTGTAAGAAATGAGGCTCCTCGTGTAGAGCACGAGCTGAACATATCCTTGTGCTCATCTCCACAGCACGGGATCAATTTCCACCGTTCTCCCCACACCAGAGGGCACCCAACCTAAGCGACCAGGGGCTGAGGAGCATTCCTGCATCTGGCAGGGCTCAGATGGCTTCCCTGGTGCCCTCAGGAGCCCCAGCCCATCCCTCTGAACACAGGTCCCATGGCAGAGTGGCTAGAAGGACAACTGATTATTAATTCTGCTTTTTTTGCTGTGGCACCGTGCAGAGCAGAGCAGGGCCTCAGGAGGAAGGTGCTGTCCCTGGGAGCAGAACAAACCTCCTCAGCCCTGTTGGGAAGTTCTAGTAGAGGAGTAGTTCAACACCTGACAAAGTCAAGATTTCAGAGACTTGAAATCAGGATCTGAATGGTTAGATAGTTGGAACAGTTTGAAAAACCAAAAACTCCAGCAAATTTTGATTCTGTGTTAATTGCTATTTATTTGAGTTAAAGCAGTCCCATTAGATATAAAACAGCCAGAGACCAATAAAGCTGGAGGAGGAGGAGGTTAAGGAAGGGTTTAAATTTCTTTTTGCTTTGGGGAGGTGTGGTTTGCTGGGGGTTCTTTGGGCACAGGAAGGCTCCAGTGATGCTCAGGTGCCTGAGGCTGAAGGCGGCGGGAGGCGCAGCTGTGCCCGTGAGGCCGCGCGTGCGGAGCTGTGTCCAGCTGGGCCCAGCAGGAGCGGGATGTGCCTGTGGAGCAGGGCTGGAGGCGGCCCTGGGGATGTGTGGAGGCCTGGGGCAGCTGTCCCGTGCAGCCAGGCTGGGAGAGCCGGGGCTGTGCAGCCGGGAGAGGAGCAGGGGCTGGGGAGGCCTGACTGTGGCCTTCCAGTGGCCAGAGGGGGCAGAGAGCCATGGGGGAAAGGGAAGGTTGGGATGAGATGTTTGCAAGAGCTAGGAGGGTGCTGAGCCAGTGCAACAGGCTGCCCAGAGAAGCTGTGGATGCCCTGTCCCTGCAAGGTTCCAGGCCAGGCAGGACAGGGCCCTGAGCACCGCGATGGAGCCAGCGGCAGCAGAACCAGGCCATGGCTGCGGTGCCTCCATGGCCTTCTGGAACTCCATGGGTGAGCAAAGCGCAGCCCCGTTACCTGGGCATGGAATGTTGGCACCGGTTGCCAGGGGCACTCCTGCTCCCAAGGTTCTGTTGACACCGAGTCTCTTGAGCCAGTTGACGGATTCTCTGCTGCGCAGCAGACGTGGAGAGTCCGTCTTCTCCATCTCAGCTGCGTACAGAGAGCCGTGTGCTGAATTTGCGAGCCAAACTCTGCAGTGACTGAACAGGTGAGTGCAGACAACTCCTGAAAAGCTGAGTGTCATGCTGAGGGGCTGTTCTGGGCTGCAGCATGGGCTGCAGGTGGGCTCCAGTGCCAGAGTCATGGACTTCCCATCTAGCTTTGAACAGGAACTGAAGACTTGGCAATGGGAGTCTTGGGGCATGGGGGTATTCAGGAAAATTTGCATTCCAAATAGATAATCTCTCCTGTACTTTTCTGACAGGTTTGGAACAGCAGTTTTCAGTCACGCCAAATAATCGGCAGTGGGCTACCCAAAGGAACCAAAGGGATTGATCCCATCCCTGAGGTTCCTTTTTTGGTGTTGGTCCCACTTCCTTTGCCGGTACTTTTAGATCAAAAAACACCATGAGCTCCGTAAGTACATTGCTACTCAATGCTGATCTGAATCTTGAAACATTTTACGGGGTACTTCTAGGAAGTATTTCAAGAGTTTGTAGCAAAAGCACAAGAATGGAAACCTTTGAAAACTTTATGTAACATGGATGTTGCTGGAATACTGAAAGTTTTGGGACTGTCTGTGGGTGTTAGCAGCAATAGTTCACAGTTCAGTGGTGATGTCTTTGCTCTGAGGAGATGCACTTAGGTGGGAATGGCCCATAGCACCATTGGATGCATATTGCAGCCTTTGCAGGAGTGTTTTGTGTATCCTTGTGTGCTGTCATTGGGGTGGCAAAAACCAAGTGCCATGTTCATATTAGTGCCACAGAAAATGCTAAGGCTTTGTTCTCTCTCAGGGTCAGCGAAAGCGCCCTGGAGAGGCGCTGGATTCCACTCCAGCTCAGAAACGGAGCAGGCTGCTGCCCTCCAGAGCTGGTGGAACCTTGGAGACAGAGCCAAGAGAGGCTGGTAAGAACAGAAACTGCTTCTGGAGACTTGGAGTTCATTTGAATGGGTGCTTTTGCCAGTTCCTAGGCCCTTTCCTGGGGAGGAAGGGAACCTTGGGCTTGAGGAACCACCTGGTATGACATCCCTAAACAACCAGCCCACTGACAGCTGTTTTGGTTTGTTACTGAACTCTGTCCATTGGCCTCTAGTGGGAGAGGAGCTGTTTAGCAAAGGCCCCAAGTGCTGCTCAAACACCTGAATGGGTGCCCTGATGAGCTGGCAGTGACTGCAGCTGCCACAGTGGAGGTGGCAGGCTGAGTTTGGCATCTCCCAAGCTGCACAAAGATGAAGAAAAGTTAGTCATTAGCGGGGGCTCATTCTTCAGGGGAGCACAGACAGCATGGTACTGTAAAATTAGCATCCCCCATAGATTTGGTGTTTTTTTTCTCCTGTGTGCTAAACATTCCCCTATGCGAGAGGAATGATCTGTTGGTGTGCACCTCCCGTAAGCTGTTGTCATCCAACAGAACTTGTGAGGAGCTCAGGTGCTCTTCCTCTTGTTTTGCCCCTTCAGGGCACAGGGCAATGCTCAGCAGGACACATGAGGGAATGCACAGAGGACAATGCTCCCTCTGGACTGCTGAGGGCAAAGCTTGAGTGAAATGTTGGACCCATTCCTGAAAAAAAGACACCTTGGGCACAGGGAATCCAAGCACAGTCTGTTCCACAGTGGCAGCCCATTGCATTCCTCTGCAATCTCTGACCTCACTTCTAACCTTCTCTTTTTCAACTGCTGAAGAAGTCATAGATCTCACAGGAGATTCTCCAGAGCCTGAAGTCATCACCATCAGCGACGATGAATCTCCTGTGGTAAGTAGTGAGTGGCACACTCCTCTCCATGTTGCATCCATAGGAATTTTCTTGCCCTCTGCAATCTTACTAAGTCCCCTGGCCTCAAAGGTTGAAAGATGGCTCTGATTTAGCACTTTAGACACAGTTCCCAGTCAACCCCAAACACACTCCCAAACACATCAGCATGCCTGAGAATCAGTTGCAGAGAGTGGATGAAGAACCTAAAAGAGGATGTTGCTTCAGTGATTCAAAAGAGAGCAGAGGAAGTCTTTGATTTGAAGAAGTGTTTTAGCTGCAGCATCAGTTTAAGGTCCCCCTGTCACTGAGGTGTCAAAAGCAACTGCAGCTGACTGGGGTACACACTAATTCTCTTTCTTATTCCTCTAAGTCTTTAAAAGGGGCACATTTGGGATTTTTTCTTTTTCCCCTACTATTTTGAAAGACTATGCTTTGATGCAGCCCTCAGAGCACTGTGTCTGCTCAAATTTGGGATGCCTCTACTGCTGTGCAAAGCAGACACATGCAGCAAACATTGCATGGCAGTTATATCCTGACAGGGTTGTTCCTGAACCTGTGCAAAGAAAAGGCCTCAAATTTCACAACAGACTTTGCATGACCCAGCTCCACTTACACCAAGCACCAGAGCAGGTTTGGGTCTAGGGGTTTTTTTCTCTTCAGTAGCTGTTCCAAAAAAGTAGTGCTCAGGCTATCCCAAATCCAATTAGGGAACTGAAATGGGGGAGCAGGAAGGGTCAAGTTCCACTGCTTCCTAAGTGTGTCCATTTCTACCCCGTTCTACCCCTGCAGCAGAGCCCGCAGCAGCCACGTCTTTCCAGGGCCTCGGACAATTCACCTGAGCCACTGGAAAGGAACGATGGAGAGGAACCAAGAGAAGATGATGGGTATGTGAGAGAGAAAGTGTCTATTAAAACTCTGATTCCATATATGTGGTAGAAAGAGGTTTTTGCCAAGCCGTAGGGTTCTGCAAAACTCTGTGCAAATACTTCAGACCTGGAATATAGTGGTCTGCCTGGAGGAGAATTAAAAGAAACCCAGCAAAATCCAGCAGAAACCTTCCTTCCCTGTTTGTGAAGCCACAATTGAATTTAAGAGAGCTGCTTGACATGCTGAAATGCTTGCAGTACATAAAAATTCTTGCAATGATGGTGTTTCTGGGTGAGAATGCATCTTATTCAGAACAGGGGATGTTTTGAGTACCAACGTTTTCTTTGTTGGTAACCCTTGGTGGCCAGTGAAAGAAATGGCTGTGCATTTAAATGACTGTATGTTCTTTTGGTTCTCCTCTCTCTAGTGATTGGCTGCTGTTTGAATTTGATCCTCCCTATTGGTCGGATGAGGACTCCCAGGTGAGGATGCACATGTTCTTGTCCTGCTCTGTGGGAGGGAAAGGGGCAGAGGGGGAGCTGCACAACTCACTTGTCTTAGGTGGGTGCCACGGGCAGCTGGCTGGAAGCACAGCCCTTGCTGGGAAGCTCCAAGTTGTCCATTCCTGCAAGTCCCTCCTTGCTGGTGTCCATAGAGGGAGGAGCCCTTGCCAGGATGGCACTGGCAGAGCTGTGTGTTCCTTGTAGTTCTTACATTGACTGACTGACTGCACATACTCCAAGTCCTGTTTGCCTGGGGCCAATAGAGCAGCAAACTGGAATTCCTTCCTCCCAATGCCTGGTATGCTTTCCATTCTTCAGCATCTGGTCATACAGCAGGAAGTATTTAGAGCTGTGACTGCAGAAGTTGCCCATTTTGGGGCTAAGGCAAAGAAAAGGTTCTAGCCCAAATCCAATCAGGGAACTGTAAAGGGGAAGTAGGACAGAGTTGATTTGAGTGGCTTCTAATTTGCCTCCATTTTTACCCCACTGCAGTACAGAGAGCAGAACCAGCAGCACTCTCAGCTTTCCAGATTAGCTGAGAATTCAGCTGGGCCCCTGACAACTCCTGATGAAGAGGAACCAAGAGTTAATGATGGGTATGTGAGAGTAAAATGTCTCTCTAGATTCTAATTTCTGATAGATGGTAAGAACAGGTTTTGCCACACTTCCAGCTTCTACTCAAGTCTGTGCAGAAACTTCTGACTTGGAATATAGTGACCTATCTGTCAAAGAAGCAAGTAAAAGAATCAAAAAAAACACATAGCAAAATCCAGATGAAACCTTTCTTTTCCTTCCATTAAGTCATGGTTGAATATTTATTCCAGTATGGCTTGCTATAAGTTTCAAATGCTTACAGTACATAGCAGCTGGGGGAACAACTGTGGTGCTGGGCTGGGATGTTGCTAGAACAGAATAGGTGTTACCTGTTGGTAAGCCTTGGTGCCCAGGGAAATTCTTGGCTTTGTGTTGAAATGGGTGCATGTTCTTTCTGGTTCTGTTCCCTCTAGGGCACAGCCAGCAGATCCTGCTAGTCCTCTGACTACGGAGGATGACAACTCAGAGGAGCAGGACAGGGAGCTGAGTCAGCTGCACTCACAGGATTCCAGGGAGGCAGAGAATTCAGCTGAGCTCTGGCCAAGTGATGATGAGGAGGAATCACGAGACAACGATGAGTATGTAACAGATGATGTGTCTCCCCAAAGTGTCATTGCTGACATAGGGCAGACACAGGTTTTTGCCAAACTGTTGGATTCTGCTTGATTCTGTGGGAAGGAATCTGATTTGAACCATAGTGTCCTGTCTGGAAGGCAACTTATGGAAAAAACCCCTAAAGCCCAGCAAAATCCAGGAGAAACATTTCTTCTCCATTCAGGAAGTCATTATTGAATGTTTCTTTACATTATGTGTTGTGATACACTGATATGCTTGCAGTCCATTAAAGCTCTTGCACTGACTGTGTTTCTGGCATGGGATGTTGCTAAATCAGAATAAGGGATTGTTTCAATTTCTGCCATTTTCTATCTCTGTGCACTGTGAAATTGATGGCTGCATGTTCTTCTGGTTCTTCTCCCTCTAGTGCATGGACAGCAAGTCTCATCAGTCCTCCAAGTCCTGAGGATGACAACGCAGAGGTGAGGATCCACAGCCCTTGCTGGGAAGCTCCAAGTTGTCCATTCCTGCAAGTCCCTCCTTGCTGGTGTCCATAGAGGAAGGAGCCCTTGCCAGGATGGCACTGGCAGACCCATGTGTTTTTTATAGTTCTAGCACTGACTGACAGACTGCACATACTCCAAGTCCTGTTTGCCTGGGGCCAATAGAGCAGCAAACATTTTGCCCCAAATTCCTGTGCCTGTGCTTTCCGTTTCTCAGCAGCTGCTCATCCAACGCCAAGTGTTTAGGGCTAACGAGGGAAAGGAAGGTTCTAGCCCAAATCCAGTTAGGGAACTGAAATGGGGAAGCAGGATGGGGTGGAGCTTCATAATCTCTCTCCTTTTTTACCCCATTGCAGGACTGGGAGGAGAGCCAGCAGTATCCATCTGATTCCAGATCAGATGAGAATTCAAACCCAGTGCTGGCAGGCAGACTTCAACAGGAGCCAAGAGATCTAGAATTGTATGTGACAGATAAAGGGTCTCTCCAAAGTGTAATTTCTGATGCCATTTCCGTGTAGACACAGGTTTTTGCCAATCTTTTGGCTTCTACTTGATTCTGTTTGGAGAATTCTGACTTGGATCATAGTGGCCTGATCTGGAAGAGAAGGAATGGAAAAAACCCCTAAAACTGGCAAAATGCAGGAGAAATATTTCCTCTCTGTCAGGAAGTCATTATTGTAATGTTTCTTACCTTATGGACTGTGATACACTGAAATGCTTGCAGAACATAAAAGCTCTTGCACTTGATTGTGTTTCTCAGCTGGGATGTTGCTAAATTAGAATAAGGGGTTACTTCAAGTTCTGCAATTCTATGTCTTGGTAACCCTCTGTGCTGAGTGAAATTGATGGCTGCATGTTCTTCTGATTCTGCTCCCTCTAGTGCACCGCCAGGAGGTCCCGTTAGTCCCCCAAATTGGGAGGATGACAACGCAGAGGTGAGGACCCACATGTTGTTGTCATTTCTGATTTGTGGGAGGGGAAGGGATAAAGAAGTGCTGCACAACTCACTTGTCTTAGGTGGGTGCCACGGGCAGCTGGCTGGAAGCACAGCCCTTGCTGGGAAGCTCCAAGTTGTCCATTCCTGCAAGTCCCTCCTTGCTGGTGTCCATAGAGGGAGGAGCCCTTGCCAGGATGGCACTGGCAGACCCATGTGTTCCTTGTAGTTCTAGCATTGACTGATAGAGTTCTTTATTCACAATGCCTGTTGTGGTTTCCTTTCTTCAGCAGCTCTTTCATCTAACATGAAGTGCTTAGAGTTAAAATAGCAGAATTTTCCAGTTTAAAAGAGAACAAGGGAAAGAAACAGCTCCAGCCCAAATTGCATTAGGGCACAGGAAGAGGGGAGGAGGGAGGAGGGTTTTCAGGTGGTTCCTAAGCTATCTCTGTTTGTACCCTGTTGAGAGCAGAATCAGCAGCAGCCACTTGGTTGTTTTCAGGGCAGCAGCTGTTTGTGCTCCTGCTTTGAATGCTCTTAAGCCAACTTGGAGGGTGATAGCCTAGCCTTCCTCACTCCTCTGCTAGAGCTGCTTTCTGAGCTGAGGTTTGCATGCAGCACAAGGGGCTCACCCAATCTAATTGTATTTTCTTTTCTTTCCCTTCTCATGTGCATCAATGGAAGTTTCCTGAAGGTGAGTTGATGTTTGACACTTGGTAATGTACTTTTATCTAGAATGTAATCATGACTTTTATTCTTTTCCAAGAACCTGGAGCAGCAGGGCTTGAAAGTGCTTTTAGTAAAAGGCACAGGACAGGCTCAAGCTGCTAGCCAGTGTCTTAGAGAATGGATGCAATGTGTGTGGGCATATATAAGGATGAAATATATCAATACAAAAACATCCTTCCTTAAGAATGAAATATATCGAGAACAAGAACATCCTTTCTTAAGAAATCTTTTACATGTTCTACATTTTGCATCTCATAGAACTCCATCTTCAAATTACCTTAACTGAGGAGGGACATGATGATAATGTTTAAGGGGACACTGCTCCAAGTAATTGTGTAGTTTCCAGGGACTGTCCTTGAGAATCACCTTCTTAGCTGGGTGTAGAGTGAACAAAGCAAAGGTTTTGTGTTGCTCCATAGCAGAGCAGTTGTCATACTGTATTAGGAACAACCAGAAGTGCGATATGACTCTCTTAGTTGCTTTGTCCAAGAGAGCAAAGTTTTTTATTCCACATCTTCTTTTATAGATGTGTTCCAGAAGGTCTGAGAGGTAAAACTCT